AAAGATTCCTCCCCACTCCAGAGGAAAGTCTAGGGCATACCCTTGCTGTGTCCCCCCTGCTCACCTCACACACTTTCTACCCACAGACTAAGAACCTTGCAGGAAGTAGTCCTGTGTCAGCAAGGGAAAAGACCTGTGGGGAAGGGGTCAGAGGGCCAAACTTCCTACTCTGAGTGCGTTCTAGAAGGAATCTAGCAGACTCCTGAGGGAGATTCATTCATGGGAAATAGATGTGAACGTTGTATGAGAGATAAAGGAGAGAGGAGGAGAAAAAGAACATTTATCTGTGCTGGGCCCCAAAGTTCAGGGCACTTTCCTTCAATTTCTGCTTTGCTATGGGAAACCTAATGAAGTTGTCAGGTTGGAAGCAGAGGAAAGGGCAGCATGGCGAACAGCAGGCAGCTCAAGCTCATTAGCTCCAAACCTAACCAGACCCTCTTTGCTCCCCGTGCCAAAGGTACAGATAATAAGAACTAAGTAAGCCAGAGGCCGCTGTCAGAGAGTCTAGAGACAGAGCTCCTCTGACTCTCTCCTCCACAACCCTCTTCATCTCCTAATGACTTACTCTTTTTATTAAGTCTCGGCCCCCGGTAGTTCCCCAACACCAACCTAAAAGACCTGCCAACCACCCCATAAAAAGTATCTTCTTACACTAATGGCTTCCCTTTTCCCAACTAACTCACCCTGGAGCATGTCTCCCTCACCCTGGTATAGTCCAAAATCCCAGGAGTGTAAGGTAGGGGTCGGAGCTGGGCTGTGTTTAGCACAAGACAGATGAGCTTAAATCCAGCGCCTTCATCACAGACTAGGCATGGAGTAGTAAAAGCCGGGCTGATTCAATTTCTGCCCCAGCAGTGGAGAGTCTGAGGACATGGGAAGCAGGTACGAAGGCCTCCGTGTCCTGATCTCAGCCCCCAGCAGAATGCCCACGGAGGGGCAGGACTAAAGGGAAGCTGAGCTTTTCCTGACAGTAGCTCTGAGCACAGGACAGGAGAGGGACCATCAACAGGGATGGAGAGTCCAGTTCTGTGAAGAGATGCTGACTGGGAAATAGAGTAGGAGGCAGAGCAAATGCTCACTGGCTCCAGGTGGCCATGGGTGGGGGTTGCAGAAAGCTGAGTGATTAGAAAGTGGGAACGGAGGTAAGGAGTGAAGACTGGAGAATTAGATGGGGAGGGCACTCAGATCGGGAATGAATTAGAAATTTACGAAGTGACTATATAAGGAAGAGAAAAACAATTACTCTCATTAGTTGCTCTGAGGACAGGATAAGGAGTAATGAGCCAGAGCTGCCACTGACAACACACGTCAA